TAACAATCTATGATAGTCTCATGATACAACCTTGCTTACTGAAACTGAAGAGGACTTACTGATGAAGATCAAAGGCCACAGCCTTGGAACAGGTTGCATCTCAATGTAAAGAAAACAAAATTCCTCACCCTTGGGCCAATAAATAACATCATGATAAATGGAAAAGAGTGAAGTTGTCAAAGACTTCATTTTGCAGTAAAAAAATCAAACAATGTATTGCATTAGGCAAATATGCCCACATAAAACCTCTTTAAAGTGTTCAAGAGCAAAGATGTCAGTTTGAGGACTAAAGTATCTTGTTATTTTCAGCAGACTCATATGCATGTGAAAGTTGGACAATGGCTTAAAAAAAAAAAAAAAAAAAACTGTAGAAGAACTGATGTCTTTGAGATAGGTGTTGGAGAAGAATATTAAAAGGAGCATGAACCACCAGAAAAATAAGCAAATTTGTGTTGGAAGGAGTACAACCAGAATACTCCTTACAAACCAGAATGAAGAAACTTGGTCTCGCATACTTTGGATATATTATCAGGAGAGACCAGTCCTTGGAGAAGGACATCACATTGGTAATATAGAAGGACAGAGAAATAGAGAGAGACCCCATTTAGATGGATTGGTACAGTGGCAGCAACAATGAGCTCAAACATAGCAGCAACTGTGAGGATGGTGCAGGGCCCGCTGGGAATTTCTTCTGTTTGACATCGGATTGCTATGGGTTGGAACCAACTTGATGACACCTATGAAGAACAACAAGAGAAAGAGGCAAGTTCCACATTTCATTTGACATGGTTTGGAAAAAGACAGGCCTATAAGGTAAGGATGCTCTCAGTTCAGCAGAAACCATTCTCATCCAGAAGTGTGTTTTTAAAACAGAAGCCTTTCTCACTCTCCTCCTAGTCTAAAAGCCTTGCACTGGAAATTTGCAGAAATGGTGACTCTTGGCTTATACTCATTGTTTCTAGACTCTACCACCACCCATTCTCTCTCTCTCTTTTAATGTTTTATTGTGAATTATGTGATAGTTTACATGGGAGACCATGAGCTTTACATCCATCCTATCGTATATTGTTTCATTGCCATGGTTACAATCCCCTCCATGCATCATCAACCAACCAAAGGGTATACCCTGCAAGCCTTCCCCCCGCACCCCCAGTCGTCAGCACACAGCCCCTCTCCCTCTCTGGATCTCAATTCCCCAGCCACTCCATCTCTCCATGTCATCGTCTCTGCCTCCATCTCTGGCATCATGGCTTCTCTGGGTAGGGTCCTGCTCTCCACTCTTGTCCTTGATGGTACCAGGGACCTCCATGCCTAGACTGCAAAGTCAGCCACTCCCCTTCTTTTGCTACAAAACATTTTCAACCCTCACAGTCAGTCCTGATAGCAAATATTCATGATTGTACCACACGAGTGCCATCCCTATCTCCTTTCATCAGCCCCGCCCAGACAGATTGGATACTACCTAGTGGAAATTCTACCTTCCTCTGCACCTAGGAGCATCCCGGTCTCTCCACATCCTTGCTAGCATTTATTGTCCTCTACTTTTTTAAATTTTTTTCTGTTATTGTTGGTGTGAGATGATATCTCATTGTTTTGATTTGCATCTCTCTAACTGAGTCCTAAGGAGCTCTGGTAGCGAAGTGGTTATGAATCGGGCTGTGAACCACAGGGTCAGCAGTTTAAAACTACCAGTTGTTCCATGGGAGAAAGAAGAGGTGTTCTGATCCCGTAAAGATTTACAGCCTCGGAAACCCTGTATAGGGTCGCTGTGAGTCGGAACTGACTCCACGGCACATAACAACAACAACAACAACCATACATGGAACTCTGGTTGCATAGTGGTTATGAATCGGGCTGCGAACCAAAAGATCAGCAGTTTGAAACTATTGAAACATTGCACTAACTCTTCCACTCATTTGAGTTTTTTGCTTAAAAATCACCTTCCCAACAAAGACTTCTGTGATAGTCCATTGAAAACCTTCAGACTCATTTACAACACCCCACCTTGTCATGCTATAGATAAGCACTGGACTGCTAACTACTTGGTTCATGGTTCAAATCTATCTACTGCTTCTCAGACCCCTATACAGGTTTGCTATGATTCAGAACGACTTGGCAGCATTTAACAACAATATATTCTTTCTGTTTATCTTTTTGCACTGGATTGATAACTACAAAATTGGTAGTTCAACCCTACCCACTGTTCTCAGAAACCCTATGTGAGGTTGCTATGAATTGGAACCAACACAATGGCACACACCTACAACAGCCTATTTTTAATAGCACTTATCTCTCTGATTTGTTACACATTTCACTTGTTGCTTTAACATGTCTCCACTTAATATAATGCAAGTCTTAGGAGAGAAATAACATTTGCCTTTTTAACTTATTCTCGATTATCCCCCCATCACAAGTAGCTCTGGTAGCATAGTGGTTATGAATCTGGCTGTGAATCTCAAGGTCAGCAGTTTGAAACTATCAGCTGCTCTGCAGGAGAAAGATGGGGCTCTCTGCTCCCGTAAAGATTTACAGCCTCAGAAACCCTGTTCAGGGTGGCTATGGGTTGGAATTGACTCAAAGGCACTTAACAACATCCCCCCATCACATAGAAAAGTGTCTCTAACATAGTAAGCACTCAATAAACACCTACAAATAAATGAAGGAGAGGGAATTAAGAAAACAGCAAGGGATGAAGGACAGAAGAAAGAGTTGAATAGGACTTGGATTCATCTTAGAGAGATCTAAAGGGTCAAGATAGCCATAGCTTTATCAAGAATGCAACTATATTGATCACCAATAAAAACTGAATTGATACCTGTAAAAAAAAAAAATTCAAAAATATAATTCACAATGTATAACAGAAGTTAAATCATTTTCAAAATGCTTCTGTTATTAAGGGATTTAATGCAGGAGCTTATGTAAGAAGTGTACTTATAAATCTATTAACATAAAGACATAAATATCTATTATTGTCCTTAAGTGACCTCAACTTGTTTCTGACTCATAGCAACCCTGTATAGTGTTTCCGAGGAGCAGCTGGTGGGTCTGAACTGCTGATCTTGTGGTTAAACATCTAGTATTTATCCTACAATGCCTCACCAGGACCTCTAAATAGCTGTTGTTATTAAGTGCTGTTGAGTGTGTTCCAACACATAGCTACCCTGTATAGGGTTTCCAAGGAGTGGCTGGTGAATTTGAACTGCTGACCTTGTGGTGTAGTACTTATCCTACAGTGCTACACCAGGACTCCTAAATATCTATTGACTCATAAAATATGTAGGACTTTAAGAAATTTAACAAAGCATATGAACTGTGGTAACTCCCCAACACACATAAAAAGGTGTCTGTTGGGGTTCATTAAATCATTCAATTGTAGTTACCATAGGGCAGGTTAACAAGTAATAGGAACTGTGAACAAAGCTCTTTTCTACAGAAGAAGACTACATGGTTCAGTTGTGAGTGAAACAGAGGAACAGAAATGCTTCTTGCTTCAAGCTGACAGTTACAAGGAACCCCCTGAAGTTGTAAATTGAGTTCCTCTGCTAATTGCTGGTCTGAAGGAGACAAAGAAAGATCCACATTTTATTTCTCTTGCTGAACTTGCAACTCCTGAATTTTACATTAGGGTCAAGCTGAGAAGTTCCAGTTTGTTTTACCTAGAATAGAGAACAGTGTCACCTCCTATGCAAATGAGGTCAGGTATGCCTTTCTGCCTTGGGTGCCTACCAGGGAGATTTCAGTCTAAGGAGGAACGTGATATAGAGGGCAAAAGAAACAAAGAAAAGAGAACAAAACATAGGACCTATTTAAAATAAAATTTTGCCTATGGATTCTAAGCGTACGTATTTCAAAATGACCACAGAATTATGTAACGTCATTCTTGAAAAGTTTGTATCACACCTATTGATAACAATATCAACTATTTTATCTACTTTCTGAACTACTCATTCATTGTAAGGCAAGTAAAGCTACACAGCAGGCAAGTACTTTAATGAAATAGGCCCAGTTCTCCCAGGAGGAGAACCTGCGGTTCAAACACTAACACTTTGATCAAGAAAGCACTTTATTCTTGCCAATGAGCAATATCTTTTATGTGGATCCTGATCAAAAATGCTCTTGGGAAGGAAAAAAGGATAGAGAGGAGGGAGGTGGGGAACAAAGGACTGTTGTGATGTAGTATTTCAAAATAGATTTCCTCAGAAGGAAACATAACTTTAGCATTTATAATGGATATACATTTTCTAACTTTTTGGAAAGTCATAGAAAAATAATGTTTCCAAAGCACACTCATTAGAATTAAGGCAATAATATTAATTCATTTATTCATTCAACCAGCAATTATTGAGCATGTATGTGTAAAAGGAAGAAATGTAAGAGCATTCATCATGAGCATCATCTCCATTAATATTGCTGTCCTCCTTCTCTAGTTTTGAGTGTATAACTATGTATTCAAAATGCGACTGAACAAAATAACCTAAGAGGTAACTAACACGTTGTGATCAAACATGTGATAATTAAGAAAGAGAAATGAATCAATGAGCACTTTCTCACTGTAATGTATTGAAGACTTCTGGGAGTCATAAAGACGTGGTTTGAAATTACAGCTCCTTCACTTAAGGACAGCCTGGATGAATAGATAACTCCATGAATCTCAGTTCTCTTACATGAAAACTGGAGTAGCAGTACCTATCCTTCATGCACTTGTGAAGGGTAAATGAGAAGGTATCAAAAACCTCATGGACAGTATATTTTCAACAAGTTTGAACTATTGTATCAGTTAGAATCTTAAACTTAAAAATTCCTTTCTTTAATCACTATGAGCACTTTGTGAAAATTATCCAGAAGCACTAAATTTCATTTACCTCTTCAGGAGAAATTCTATTTCACACTCATTGTCTCTAAAAATGCAACCCTTGAAATTTTCATGCTTCCCAAATGTGAAGTCAAGAAATCCCACTTTCAAAGAACACTTCCAATAAAATAACCAAGAAAATTCTTACCTAGTTTTGGCAAAGAATAGGGCACTTTAAAGTAGTCTTCATAAAATTCGATTAACCTCTTTGTTATATGGAGAGCATAGTCCCCAGATCCTCGCCTGATAGCATCCGGTCTTGCATACAATCGTACCTAATTAAGAATATGCATAAAAGTTACTTTAGCCTTTTGGTACTCAAGCTTTATCTTTCCTGCAAATATAAATCTACAACAAGTACTTAAAGTATGACAAAATTTCAACAATATTCTTGTTCATGTTGCAAAGCATTCTGTAGTTGAAAGAGTAAAACTTAAACAATTGAAGTAACCAAGTTGAGCAAGTTACCATTTCTTCACTTGACAAGATGACATGCAGAACATTTATACACCTTGCATCAAAATAAATATTCAAAGTTATCACTCACATGTGCAGCTAGAGATATGAAGGTGTGGTGGATTAGTATAATGGGTCCCTGACTATGCTGAAAGTACACAGGATATGGTGACTCCACAGGAGAGAAAATTCATGGTTTGTTAAAGGCAAGCTTTGAAAGTATTACAAAGCTGAGCAAAAATTTAATTTATGCTTCCTTCTTTTCTTTGGAAACAACTGTCTTTATTCCCAATATGCAAACTAGGGATAGAAAATTCTTTTAAGTATATACAGGATCTCCATTCTGGAAAGCTGTCTGCAACTGCTCCCAGCTTCAAAACCAGCTGAAGTAATTCATATTTCTAACACAAACCGGATACTTAATATTGATTTTTTAAATCAAGCGTTATATATTATCTAGTCCTTAGCCAAGAAAATTCCTAAGGCAAGTAACATAAAACTGAACAAAACTAACAATTGTTCAGAAAAGGTTAAAATGAGATTAGTTTTCATAAAGCTTTCATAAAGCTATCCAGCATCTTTTTTTCCAAAGGCTAAATCTATTTTTCACAGATGTGGTCCCTAATCCTCATATCAATTGTGTGAATAAGAAATATGTGTTTTGTGAGTAGTCGAGAGCACAGTGGCCTGGGAGTTGAATTGTAGTCCTACTCTGCCACTAAAGAAGCTGGGTGATATTGAACAAATTACTTAACTTGTTTGGGGCTCAAATTTTCTCATTTATAAAATAAAGGTGTTGGCCACCAGATGGTTTCTAAAGTGCTTTTCCATTCTAAAACACAGTATTCTCAATCTCATTTTATGTATGAGGGGTTTGTTTTTTTATTTTCCTTTTTTAAATTACTATGAACATAAATATTTTAGTCAGTATGTGGAAATGGGCATCTATATTCAGCATGAAGACAAAGGAAAGCTGTACTCAATCAGAGAATCCTAACATTTGATTACACAATGAACTCTTTAATGTCCATGTTAAAAGGAGAGAAAAAAAAAAGTTATGATTGAGATGCTTTCAACCCCTCGTAGCCTCATATGTTCTAGAGTAGAACTACTGGTCCAGAGGGTTATCTTGGCTGTAATCTTTATGAAAGCAGTTCACCAGATCTTTCTTCCAGAGACATGCTGTGTGAGTTCCAACACCAATCTTAGGTTTGCAGCTGACTGCATACCATTTGTGCAACCCAGAGATGTGTGTAATCAAAAAGTGTAGAAAGTCCAGGAAAATGCATTTTGACTTTAGCTTAGAAAGAGCTGTAATCCAGTAAAATATTTACCAAATAACATATTTACAACAAAAATGGCTAGAAGAAACATAAGCCTTTCCCATCAATCAATTCTACCAGTCAGTCAAGCTATCTGCAATAAATTCAATAACAATTATTTACTAAAATTGTGAAGCTACTTCTCACCCAGCAACTAAATCAAATATCAAATTTGTTCAGTCACCTACAGTTTTAGGTGGCAATCCTATAAAACCAAAACTGTCAAGAGAGTCCATCAAGTGAAACTTGACACTCTTGACATTCTTAAAGAGGCAGCCCTTCTGTTTCCCTGTCCCTGACATCAACTGCTCTGTAAACATTCATTGTCTTAAGTGGAGTTTCTACAAGGCAGACTGTAAAGCAAGTATGAGTCTGTGAGTGCTTTAATAAGGAGGGGTTGGAAGCAGCATAAGGAAAAGTAAAAAGTAAAGCAAGTATGATTCAGTAGTGAGTAAAGGAGCTCTGGTAGCGTAGTGGTTACGAATCGGGCTGCGAACCTTAAGGTCAGCGGTTCGAAACTACCAGCTGCTCCGCGGGAGAAAGATGAGGCTTTCTACTCCCGTAAAGATTTACACCCTCGGAAACCCTGTACAGGGTCGCTATGGGTCGGAACCGACTCGACGGCACTTAACAACAACAACAACAAAGGAGCTCTGGTAGCATAGTGGTTATGAATTGGGCTGCTAACCTTAAGGTCAGCAGTTAGAAACTACCAGCTGTTCTGTAGGAGAAAGATGAGGCTTTCTGTTCCCATAAAGATTTACATCCTCAGAAACCCTGTGCAGGGTCACTATGAGTTGGAACTGACTCCACAGTACTTAACAACAACAGTTGTTATCATGACTAATTGAAACTGTCACAACTCTAAAGGTAGATGTTCTATAACAAAAAGGGAGGAGTAGTTAATTTTACAGTCCAGAAACAGAAGACCAGAGTATTATCAAGGGAGAAGAGCATGAGCAGAAAATGGGATCCTATCCAGAGAAGGAGCGACACCAGAGATGGAGGCAGAGATGAGGACATGGAGAGAGGGAGCAGCTGAGGACTGTAGACTCATGGAAAAAGAAAGAATGAGTGCTGGCGGCCAGGAGGCAGGCTTGCAGAATGTGCTCTTTGGTTGTTTAAATTATTATACATTCCTGAGTGGTTTTTTTTGTACATCCCCCCAAACAAACAAACAAACAAACAAAAACATTAGGAATAGAAGCAAATACTATTGAATGATGATGCACAGAGGGGATTGTAATCATTGCAATGAAATGAAATGATGAGTGTAAAACTGGTGCTCTCCCATGTAAACTATCACTCAATTTAAAATAAAAACTTTAAAAAAGTCAAGCAAGGATGAAATTTCAGGGGAAGTCTTCAACTCAGACTGATCCCACAGAGGCCTCTAGAGTATAAATTACACTGGACAGTTTGTCCCAAAGGATTGCTTGACTTCCATAATCCTGCACCTGTCAATCACTGGTTGCTCTTGGTCAAGGGGAAGGCATAAAATCCCAGGTACTTTTGGTTCTTGAAGCATCCAGGCACTGTATCTCCAACTCATTAGTGCCATCTCATAGCAACATTGTATAGAGTTTCTGAGAAGCAGCTACTGGGTTTGTCATTCAACATATTTACTTAGTATCTGTTTTGTGCCATCCTCTGGGCTAAGTACGTTCTCTAAGTAAATGTAGTCCCAAACACTAATGAGAAAAAATTCATTGAAGATATAAACGCCATTCTTAAAAAGCTTACCATTTATTGGATAAGATAATATTGTACTTGCAACATATACCATATGATTGGTAAAACAGAAATGGTAAATGGATAGTAAGGAAAAATGGATACCGTTCAGAAGGTTCAAAGTGAAATAACTAACAAATTCATATTAAAATTAAAATCAAGACCACTACAAAATGTTGGAGCAAGGGTCATTGATTTTACTCCTAGGGAGCTTCATTGATTTTGGTGGAAATACAGCCATTTTCAGGAGCTCTGGTAGCGTAGTCGTTATGAATCGGGCTGCTAACCACCCTCGGGAGAAAGATGAGGCTTTCTGATCCCGTAAAGATTTATAGCCTTGGAAACCCTGTACAGGAGGGTCGCTATGAGTCAGAACTGACTCCACGGCACATAGCAACAACAACAACAGCCATTTTCATCAGTCAACACCACTAGTCATCAAGTTATCTGTAGGACTAAACAAGAGAAACATGATTAAGTCAATCTGTTAAGATTTTGGGGATCTAATATAAGAGAGAAGATAAAATATACACACACTCAGTACAGTGTCTTCATTTGTTCACTAAAATATTTATTGCATGCTGGCTGTGTGCCAGGATTGTTATAGAGAAAGAGCAACAACAACAACAAAAAAAACCCTAAAAAATGAGCAGGATATTTATACTCACTATCATGGGTTGGAGTGTGTCCCCCCAAAATATTAGCCAAGTGTTAACTTGGCTAAGATATAATTCCCAATATTGTATGGATATTCTCTGTTTTGTGATATAATTATCTTATAGTTTGTGATGTGTTGTAACCTTGACTTCTACATGCTAATGAGACAGGATTATTGCTGTTAGGTGTTGTACAGTTGGTTCCAATTCACAGCAAGCCTATGCTCAATGTAACACTGTGCCATTCTCACAATTATGCTTAAATTCATTATTGCCAATGTGTTAATCCATCTTGTTGACAGTACTTCTTTTTCAATGACCCTGCACTTTACCAAGCATGATGTCTTTCTCCAGAAACGGATCCTTTCTAACAACATGTCCAAAGAATTAGAGAAGTCTAGCCATCTTCATTTCCAAGGACCAAGACAGATTTATTTGTTCTTCTGGCAGTTAATGATACTTTCAATATGTTTTGTCAGCACCACAGTTCAAATGCATCAGTTCTTGTCTGATCTTCCTTATTCATTGTCCAGCTTTCACATGCGTATGAGGTCATGCTGTGGGCTAATGAGCTGGACTGCAAACTCAGTTTGAACTGCAAGGTCAGCAGTTCAAGCTCAGAAACCCTATAAGGGTGACTATGGGTCAGAACCGACTAGACGGCACTTAACAACAACAAAAAACCTAGCATGGCTTGTGTAAAACATACATTCTTCTTCAAATTGATATCTTTGCTTGGGACTTCATTTACTTATATCTTTGCTCATTAAAACATCAAAGAAGTCTTTTGTAGCTTATCTTTGAATTCTTGCCTAATGCTTCCGGGAGTGTTGATTAAGGATCGAAACAAAATGAAGTCTCTGACAACTTCTATCTTTTCTCCATTTATCATGATATTATTTATTGATCAAGTTGTGAGGATTGTTGTTTTCTTTACATTGAGGGTGCAGTCCATATGGTATTTTAAGTTCTCTTGGCTTCCAGCAAGTAAACTCATGTCATCTGCATGTTCCAGGTTGTTACTGAGTCTTCCTCCAATCCTAATGCCACGTTCATCTTCATATAATTATTTGGACAGCATACAGATTGAATAAATATGGTGAAAGAATA